GTGGTCGTGCTGGGGTGTGGTCGTGCTGGGGGGTGGTCGTGCTGGGGGGGGTGGTCGTGCTGGGGTGTGGTCGTGCTGGGGCGTGGTCGTGCTGGGGCGTGGTCGTGCTGGGGCGTGGTCGTGCTGGGGCGTGGTCGTGCTGGGGCTTGGTCGTGCTGGGGTGTGGTCGTGCTGTGGTAAGGTCGTGCTGGGGTGCGGTCGTGCTGGGGTGTGGTCTTGCTGGGGTGGGGTCGTGCTGGGGTGTGATCGTGCTGGGGTGGGGTCGTGCTGGGGTGTGGTCGTGCTGGGGTGAGGTCGTGCTAGGGTGGGGTCGTGCTGGGGTGGGGTCGTGCTGGGGAGTGGTCGTGCTGGGGTGTGGTCGTGCTGGGGTGTGGTCATGCTGGGGCGTGGTCGTGCTGGGGTGGGGTCGTGCTGGGGTGGGGTCGTGCTGGGGTGGGTTCGTGCTGGGGTGCTCCGCACCCTGTGATTTATCGATCGGGTCGTGCTGGGGTGTGGTCGTGCTGGGGTGTGGTCGTTCTGGGGTGTGATCGTGCTGGGGTGTGGTCGTGCTAGGGTGGGGTCGTGCTGGGGTGGGGTCGTGCTGGGGTGTGGTCGTGCTGGGGTGTGGTCGTGCTGGGGTGTGGTCGTGCTGGGGGGTGGTCGTGCTGGGGGGTGGTCGTGCTGGGGGTGTGGTCGTGCTGGGGGGTGGTCGTGCTGGGGCGTGGTCGTGCTGGGGCGTGGTCGTGCTGGGGCGTGGTCGTGCTGGGGTGTGGTCGTGCTGTGGTGAGGTCGTGCTGGGGTGTGGTCGTGCTGGGGTGTGGTCTTGCTGGGGTAGGGTCGTGCTGGGGTCGGGTCGTGCTGGGGTGTGGTCGTGCTGGGGTATGGTCGTGCTGGGGTGGGGTCGTGCTGGGGTGGGGTCGTGCTGGGGTCTGGTCGTGCTGGGGTGTGGTCGTGCTGGGGTATGGTCGTGCTAGGGTGGGGTCGTGCATTTCGCTCGAGACATCCTGCCAAAATTCCAGGAAATCGTACAAAAACAAACGAATTAGTCGAGACATCATCGAAATTCCTTCGCGCGGGGCGCTTTTCCGCGTCGCGGTCGGCTCTGCAAAACAAGCGTTTCGCTCGAGACATCCTCGGCAAACTCTGCGGAGCAAGCGTTTCGCTCGAGACATCCTCAACGCACGAAAAAGTGGCCCGCACCCTGTGATTTATCGATCGGGATTTCAAAAACAAGCGTTTCGCTCGAGACATCCTCAAATTTTAATTCGCCGGCCTCCTTCGACCTCGTTATTTATCAGGGAAAAAATTCGCCGGCCTCCCTCAAGTTGGCACCGGGGGACAGGTTTACCTACTAAAAGAGAACCCTGGGCCGATGCCCTTTCCGGGAAAAATCAAGACGTCGCAGGTCTGGGTCCTGGAGGCGTCCCGTCGCCGCGGCCAGATCCGCTTCGAGCAAAGAGTCAGGAATGACTCCAGGAGTGGTCTACAGTCAGGTCGGGCATGTCCTCCTACAGGCAGGTTCTGGCCGAAACATGAGAATGAATCCAAAAATGCACCCAAATAGTCAAAATACAAAAAAATCGTCCATGACTATTTTTGGGAAGGACACGCCCGACTTAGGTCTACCGGGACCGTCGGGGCGTTGACCTGAGGAACCCTGAATGTATGGAACGAGGCCCCTTTCTCCCAGAAGTCAAACTTCGACTTTCCATGGAAAGCATCACGAAAACCTGAGGCAAGCTGCAAAGCAATCGAGGAACACCGAGCCCCTCCCAAGCGAAAAGGGCTCCTTCTTCCCAAACCCCCGACGTCATGATTTTTATTCATGACGTCGACCCCCAGAGATTTCGACCCCTCGTCTGGGGCAGGTTTCTCGTCCTGGGTCGTTTTTGACGGCCCCGAGGCCCGGTGAGGGCCCCCGGCACTCTGCAGAGCCACCCCCCCCGCCTTCTCTTAGACGGCCGCCCCCCTCTCGCCCCTCTCGCCGCCCCTCCCCGGGGTGCGCCCCGCAGGAGGAGGAGGAGGAGGAGGAGGAGGAGGAGGAGGATCGCACGCCACCGAGGGGGGGGGAAGAGAAAAAGAGGAGGAGGAGGAGGAGGAGGAGGAGGAGGGGAGGAGGAGGAGTGAGGAGGAGGAGGAGAGGAGCTTCCCACGGCTTCGTAGAGGCCTCCAGGCTGGGGCCCCTCGAAGGATGCCCCCAGCCCTCTGCAGAGCCACCCACCCCCCGCCTTCTCTCGACGGCCGGCCCCCTCCTCTCCTCCTCCTCCTCCCTCCTTCTCCTCCTCCTCCTCCTCCTCCTCCTCCTCCTCCTCCTCCTCCTCCTCCTCCTCCTCCTCCTCCTCCTCTTCCTCCTCCTCCTCCTCCTCTCCTCCTCCTCCTCCTCCTCCTCCTCCTCCTCCTCCTCCTCCTCCTCCTCCTCCTCCTCCTCCTCCTCCTCCTCCTCCCCCTCCTCGCCCCTCTCGCCGCCCCTTCCTGGGGTGCGCCCCGCGGGAGGAGGAGAGCCGCCGCGGCCTCGACTGCCCCCCCTCCGAGCTGAACTCCTCGGGGTGACTCGCCTCAAGCCGCAGGGCCCCTGCCACCTCGCGGCGGCAAGTGAGGGGGGGAAGTGAGGATTGAGCAGGGACTGACCGTCCCCGCATTCCTATAGGCCTACCACGACATGTTCTTAGAACCCTCAACAGGTTCTAATACCAAAAGCAATGTTCTTAGAACGCAAGCCCGATGTTTCAAAACAAGACTGCCCCAGCCAGAAGTGGTCCAAGAGCATTTCGTGCAAACCACAAACGGTTCTTAGAACATTGTTTGGTGGGCCTATAGGCGAGCCAGGGCGCTTCGGCTTGCGAGGAGGAGAAGGCCTTCTCAGAAACCGGCAGGACTTCTCGAAAGCCACCGCGCCTTCTGAGAAGCTCTCTGCGTCTTCGGGGAAGGCCTAGATGGGGGAAGGCATAATGACATAACAACATACAAACTCGGAGGTCCGCGCGGACTTCCGAGTTTTCATGTTTATGTCCTTCTTCGTTCCCCTACTAGAAGACTGCTCAGAAGGCCTGGGGACTTCCGAGCCTTCTGAGAAGGCCTTCTCCTTCTCCCTTCCCCCCGGCTCGCCGCCGAGCCTCCTCGCCGGATGACGCCGCGGAGGCCGGCGCGGCCACGTCCTCGATCTCCGCGACATCGTCCCTGGCGAAAGCGCTGAGGTCGCCCGCCGCCGTGGCGGTGTCCTCGCCGCCCTGCCCCGCGCCGCCGGCAGGCGCCGCCACAGGCGGCGGCTTCTGGCTCAGCCCCGTGCCTGGTCCCTCCGACGGCGCGCCCGTGGTCCCAGCGGTCGTTGCAGTGCCGTCCCCTCGGGGCGGGGCGCTGGGCACGGAAGGGGTCGGAGAGGTCGGTGCGCTGGACGGCAGCCCGGGGGCTTGCAGAGCGGCCGGCGCCACGTCCCGGCGCCCGTAGTGGTCCCAGCAGTCGTTCCTCGCGAACTTGCACTCGCCGCTGTACAGCACGCAGGCTCCACGGTGGGCCCCATTCCCTTGCGGATCGCACCCGTTGGCCGTCTTGAAGCCGAAGCCCTTGCACCCCCCCCTCAACTCGCACAGCGCCGCGCACTGGTTGGAATCCGAGGCGGTGACGCTGTCCTGTTGGATGCTCTGCCAGTTCGCGCACCCCTTCTTCTCAGAGCGCTCCCACTGGTCACCCAAACTCCGCAAGGCCGAGAGAGTGGTGCCAGACGAAGAGGCAGCTTCAGCGCTACCAGATGCAATCATCTCGTAGCGGTCGTAGCAGGCGTTGGAGTTATCCTGGCAGTCCCCGAACCACAGCAAACACGCACCCCTACCAGCGCCAGAGTTCTGGCTGCACATGCTGTCGACCTCCTTCTGGTAGTCGAAGCCCACACAACCTTGGTGCGCCCTGCAGTACTCTCCACACTTGTCCACGCTGCCCAGAACGACGGGCTCGAACGCATGGATACTCTGCCAGTTGCTGCAACCGGCGCCCTCGCGCGCCTTCTCCCACGACCTGGCGCGAGCCACCTCGGAGACCCGCTTCCGACAGCAACTGCAGTCCGCATGCTCACCGCACGCGGCACGAGGGGTTCCGCGGTCGGCGTTCCAGAAGTACACGTGGCCGTCCCCCAGGCCGTTGCCATGGATGCACCTCTTCTCGGCGGAGCCCTGGGAGCCCTCCTCTGGCGGATATGGGGCGCACTGCAAGGTCGCCGCGGATACAACCTTCTGGGAGGGCGTAGTCTCATTGCCGCCGCGGGCGTTCAAAGCCGTCGGCACCGTCGGCGGCAGCTGTTGCAGAAGTGCTGGCGCTGTCGCCGACCGCAGCGGGGCCTGCAATCTCGAGCTTGCTTCCACAGCCGGCTGCAAAGACGACCGCATTGGCGCTGGCGCTGTCGCTGGAGCCTTTCCCGTCATCGGCGCTGGCGGCAGCGCAGGCAGTGGAGCTGGTGCCTGCTTGCGAACGCTCAAGGGTGTCAGCCCCGATCCCACTAGCGGCCGCGCAGGCTCTGGTGCCTGCTGCGCAGAAGCCTCTGCGGCATCATCCGTCGTGGCCGTCGCCTCCGAGCCGGTGCGTGGTCGACTGGCACTGCTTGACTGGCTCTCCTCATACAGAACCCAGCAGGAGTCGATGGTCTTGACACACCCAGACTGCATGAGCAAGCACTCCTTGGGGAAACCGAAGGTACCGATACCGCTACTCCCCGGACCTCTCCCGGGGTGCGTCTTGACCAAGATTTCGGGGCGAATCCAGCGGTGGCGACGACAGAGGCCCAGGATGCCCAGAAAGGGGGAAACGAGGAAAGGATAGAGGTATGGGTACCTTTTCCTCCTCCTCCTCCTCCTCCTCCTCCTCCTCCTCTTCCTCCTCCTCCTCCTCCTCCTCCTCCTCCTCCTCCTCCTCCTCCTCCTCTGACTCCTGGCCATCGCCCGAGCCGCACGCGTCGGACTTGTAGCCGAACGCGGAGCAGGCGCCAGAGTCCAGGCAGCGCTGGCGGCAGGCCAGCGGCCCAGGCTGCCGGGTCCTGGAGAGCAGCAGGCGAGGACCAGGACGACAACGAGGCTGAGCATGGAGGCCTCCTAAGCCTCCTCCTCGTCCTCCTCCTCCTCGTCCTCCCTCCTCCTCGTCCTCCTCCTCCTCCTCCTCCTCCTCCTCCTCCTCCCCCCCTCCCCCTCCTCCTCCTCCTCCTCCTCCTCCTCCTCCTCCTCCTCCTCCTCCTCCTCCTCCTCCTCCTCCTCCTCCTCCTCCTCTCCGCCTCCTCCTCCTCCGCCCTCCTCCTCCTCCTCCTCCTCCCTCCTCCTCCTCCTCCTCCTCCTCTCCTCCCTCCTCCTCCTCCTCCTCCTCCTCCTCCTCCTCCGCCTCCTCCTTTCCGCCTCCTCGTCCTCCTCGTCCTCTTCCCCCTCTCCTCCCTCCTCCCCCCTCCTCCTCCTCCTCCTCCTCCTCCTCCTCCTCCTCCTCCTCCTCCTCCTCCTCCTCCTCCTCCTCCTCCCTCCTCCTCCTCGTCCTCGTCCTCCTCCTCCTCCCCTCCTCCTCCTCCTCCTCCTCCTCCTCCTCCTCCTCCTCCTCTGGGCTTCTTCTTCATATGCGTGGGGGGGTGCCCCCCCACGGGAGTCAACCTCGCCTCGTCGTCGCGCCGCGATGGGGGTCGGAGCGCCTTCGGCGCGCGGTGGCTGCCCACGACGAGGGTCGATGTGGGGCTGACGGCGGGGGTGACGCCCTCCGACGCTTGTTAAGAAACTCGGAGTACACCTCCGACATGGCTCGATCCATCCTGGCGCCTTTTCCTCGATGTCGGCTTTTGGGGGGCCGTTGCTGGGCCCCGGGACCATCACAACTGGAGCCAGGGCAACAAGAACTACCCCCTGGGAAGGGGTCGGGGCCCCTGGGGCCGCGCACTCCGGACAAAGCTGTCTGGGAAGGGGGGCAGAGCAAAGTGGGGTCGGAGGGTCGCACCGCACCGCCGATGCACCGAAGGACGCCAGGACGGGGAAACGTCGGACTCCAGAACGCGACGCCGGGAGGATGCATCGGCGACGCGGAGCGATTCTCCGACCCCCACCTGCTCTTGCCCCAATCTTTTGCAGGCGCAAGGGTATCTCAAAGGCCAACCTGGCGAGCTTGCGAGCGCTCTGGGTCGCAGGCCCAAGGGTGATGGAAGGAGTCCCTGTTTGTGTACTCCCGCATCGGATATGCGCGTTGAAGTACCCAGCTCTAGCCAAAAACTGAGGCTGCCCATGATCCGCAGCCAGGAAACAAACGAGACGACAGGCTACCAAACCTGGCAAATTCTGAATGTAATGCTGCAGTCCTACTACACTAGCTACCGCTGGCTCACAGCCTGAAACTCTACCGGAGAATCTAGCGAAACCTTTCGATCTCGCCCTTTATCTTGCCAATGGTTGGGCGATCACCCGGACTCTGAGCCCAGCAGGACTCCACCATGACTAGCAGACCCTCGGGCATGCTCGGCATCAGGTCCTGCGGGTCCGGCCATTCGGGCCGTTCGCCCCGGCTGATCGCCTGCGCGACGGAGTGCCTGCAGATCACCTCGAATGCCGCCATAGCGAAAGAGAATACGTCCGCCTTCTCGGTGTAGTCGGTGCCCGCGAGGACCTCCGGCGCCATCCAGTGCTTCGTGCCGACGCCGCGCGTCATGCTCCTCTCCTCGAGGATCCTGGCGAAGCCGAAGTCTCCCAGCTTGACCACGACGTCGTCGAACTCGTTCGTCACCTGATCCAGGAGCATCATGTTCAGGCTCTTCAGATCGCGGTGCAAAATGGGGGGCTCGAAGTTGTGGAGGTAGTCGAGCGCCGAGGCGACGTCCGACAGCATCTTCAATCTCTGCTTCCACGAAACTGAGATATTGTATCTGTTGTGGAGCAGTTCGAACAAGGAGCCGCCCGCACAGTATTCCAGCACGAGGCGAATGGGAAGAGCTGCCAGGGATATCCCAATGAAGCCAACGATGTTCTCGTGCTTGACCTGGCTCAGAGTCCCTACCTCCCGCTCCACCGCCTGGAGCGTACCCTCGTCACATTCGGCACACTCGGCGGACGCGCGGATCTCCTTCACCGCCACCTGAGCGCCGTTGAACCTTGCCAAGTGGACTACTGCTGTTGTCCCCTCGCCGATGACGCTCAGGTACTTGATCTCACGAGGGTCAACCTCCAAAATCAGCTGGTCATCTTGAGCCATCACATGAGCTCGCGACCCATGTGGGACCTAGCCCAGCCCACAGCTGCGGACCATTGCTCGAGCAATGCTCCCTTGAACCCAGACGGCTACGGAACCTGCTCTGGCCCCAGTTGGGAGGCTTGAGAAGGAGGAGGGAGTGGCGCGTCAGCATGGGGGCCTGAGGAGGCCCCGCTGGAACCGAGCAGTGAGAAGGGGCCCAGTCTGCAGGCTCGGTTCACCAACACTTCGTTGAGCGGTGCTGCAGCCTCCCCTGAGCACAGGCCCCCCCCCCAGAGCATCAGCCAGACGAGTCGGGTTTGCACCCTTATGCCCTGCTGGACCCTGGGCGCGTCTCGGCGGCCCTCTCCCCCAACGTCGTCAGGGCCACCGAAGAGGGAGAGGGCGGCGGCGGCGGCCGACGCGTCCCAAGTCCCAACCTCAAGGGAGCACCCTCATGCCCTTGCTGGGACCCCAGGGGCAGCGCACCATGACGGGACGGCGACAAGCAGCCGCAACAGCAAGCAGGAGAGAGGCGCGCGAGGAGGAGCTCGAGAGAGGGGACGTCCTGGAGAACACGATGTCTTCCCAGTTCGCGCACCCAGTCTGCGCGCTCGGCTCGAAGCCTGGCGTGGCCAGGGCGGATGCGTCCTCGAGAAGCCCCACGGCGTGCCGGCCAGCGGCTCCGGCGCGCCTCCCTGCAGGTGGCCTTCGGGGCATACCCTCGCCTCCTCCCCCCCAGACATCCGCCGATCCGACTCTTGCAGTCCGCGGCCCCAGAGGTCCCGAACCCGCCCCCAGGAGTGGCCCCTCGTCCAGGACCCCCCAGGCCCGAGAGCGGGCCCCGCGGAAGCTGACATCCACGAAACGACGCCGGGGTGACAAAACGCCAGGTCCTCGGAGCTCTGGGCTCGCTGTGGGCAGAGATCGCGACGGATTTCTTGCCACAATTCTCGGCCTCCGGGGGCCCCGCGCCGGGCCCTGGCGGGGCCGCCACAGTACGACCCGGGGTGAGAACCTGGCCCCGGGAGGGAGCGAAGGCGAGGGTGGAGGGGGAGGAGGAGGACCAGAGCGCAGACCCATGGAAAGCACCAACGGTGCTGCAGGAACCCTCCCCTCCAGGTTCCGTCTTCCTGGGCACCTATGCAAGGATCCGCCGACCATGCCAGCGTGTGGAGGACGCGCTCTTCCGTTCGTCGTCGTCGCCACCGGCGCCGTCGCCGTCGCCGCTCCCTCGTCGTCGTCGTCGTCGCCGTCGTCGTCTTCTTCGTCGTCGTCGTCGTCGTCGTCGTCGTCGTCGTCGTCGTCGTCGTCGTCGTCGCCGTCGTCGTCGTCGTCGTCGTCGTCGTCGTCGTCGTCGTCGTCGTCGTCGTCGTCGTCGTCGTCGTCGTCGTCGTCGTCGTCGACGTCGTCCTCGCCGCCGCCCAGGGCCTCCGCCGCGCCGCCACGGCCGCCGCCGCGGCGGCCGCCGCCGCGGCGCCGGCGAGCAGCGCCGCCGCGAGGCGCCCCGCGAGGGGGCGCCTCGCCGTCGCCGCCGCCGCGGCCCGCGGGGCGGCGGCCGCGGCGGCGCTCATGGCGGGCCGCGCGGAGGGGCCGCGAGGGGCGCGGGCCCTGGACACCGGCTTGAGCTGCTCTCCCTGCAGGCCCCCTCGAGCCATGAAGAAATCATGGCGGGAGATGTTTCGCCATGTTCGGGAGCCGGGGGCCCTCGCCGGGCCTCGGGGCCGTCAGAAATAAACGACGCAGGATGAGAAACCGGTCCCCGGGGAATGGATCGAGACCTCTGGGGGTCGACGTTATGAAAAAATCATGGCTGCGGGGGGCACAGAGACAGACTAGTACCATAGACGTCCTCCTTGGGGGCGCGCGTCCGACCCGAGCACACAGTAGACCCATCTTGTATAGTAGGCGGCGGGGGCAGTGGATGAGGAGACCTTCGATGAGAAATCCAGGGTCTGGAGGCCAGTGGAGAGCCAATCCTGGATCGGCCATGGGCATCACCGCCGCTCTCATCATGTAAGAAACCCTCCAGGGTCTGGAGCCTCCTGGGCACGTTCCGTAACGAACGCCCCCACCGCATGTCCTCATTGGAGGCGCACGTCCGACCCGAACACAGAGTATACCCACCTTATAGTATATGTATCGTTCCCCGAGCGGTGTGGCCAGAAAGCGCCCGCCACGACGCGTATACCATGAGCCTTCTCGGTGCACGCGCCGCCCCTGGGGGACTAGTACTAGATGTCCTCCTTGGAGGTGCGCGGGGGGGGCTAATACTTTCAAACCGTCATCAGGGGAAGAGGGAGAGTAGTATTCATATTGAGTAATTGTGGAGGGGAGGGGGAGAGGGGGGGGGGCAAGAGGGGGGAGGGGATGGGAGGGAGGGGAGGGAGGGGAGGGAGGGGGGAGGGGGGGGGGGGGAGGGGGGAGGGGGAGGGAGGGGAGGGGAGGGGGGGAGGGGAGGGGGGGTGGGGGGGAGGGGAGGGGGGGAATCAGCAAGCATCCAGTGTACAGGGGGGTTGTTGATGGTCATTTGCACGTGTAGCTACTTGCCTATCGCGCAGTACTGCAGTCAGTGGTGAGTCACATGTGCACTTGCGGACTTCATGCCCTAGCCATTTCAGTCCAGAGCTGTTATGAAGAGGCCCTGGAGGCCGAAAGCTAGACAGAGCCACCGAAAAAGGCGCAGGCTTGAGAGCGCCGTACGAGTCAGGTGTGGAGAGGCTTCCCAAATAGGGTCCGAGTATCTGCTCTGTGGGAGGCACAGGGACAGACTAGTACTAGATGTCCTCCTTGGAGGCGTGCGTCCGACCCGACCATATAGTATAGCCATCTTGTAGTATAGATCGTTTCCCGAGCGGTGTGGCAAGAAAGCGTCCGCCACGACGCGTATACTATACGACTTCTCGGTGCACGCGTCGCCCCTGGGAGATAGTATGAATTAGATATATGTCGGGGTGGTGCCGATGGTAGAAGCAGAACAAAAACGCCATAAACATAAATGTTTGGCGATCCGCGCGGATTTCTTGGCTCCGCGCTGGCCCCCCCGCTCTGCAGCGCCGGAGGCGCCGCCATAGGGGCCCAGCGCGAATCCAAGAAATCCGCGCGGAGCGCCAAAGGTTTATGCTTATGTCGCCTTCTTTTCTTCTTCCATTCCACCGTGCGGGGTCTCCGAAGTCATGATTTTGCCATCACCCCAGCCCACACAGGTCTAGACCTGCTCCCCGTGACCCGTTTATCCTGAGTCGTTTCTTGATGGCCCCGAGGCCCGGTAACGGCCCCCAAAGGCCGAAAATTGCGAAAAACTTCCCGTCGTGATTTTTTCGTGATTCGAGGTGATCTTGTGGTATTGCCATTTGTGCACTCAGCGCGTCCTCTGTCCACACCCGCCGGGGTGGAGCAACGCTCGTGGACCTGTCGCGGGGGCTCCCCGGCCACCACCGTGTCAATGTTGAGCTGCACTGTCAAAATGCCGCGCTCTCCTGGGGCTTTGCTGTGCTCCTGCCCGTGAACATGTGTCACGCGTGCGGAGCTGCACTGCCAAAATGCCGCGCTCTCCTGTGGCTTTGCTGCGTTCCTGCCAGCAGCGCGCACCGCCAGCGGCGGCTCCGCCCGCCAAAAGTGTCTGCCCAGAGGCCGGATGGGCGCAGCGCCCTGCAGCACCACGCCTCTGGTGCCTGCTGCTTCCCCGCTGCCGCTCGGCGCCTCGCGGGCCGGGCCCTAGACGGGGCTCCTCCGGAGCGCAGCACCTTCGCTTGCTGCGAGGCGGGGATTTATCCAGATCCACCGCCCGGGAACCGACGTCCTGGTGCCCCAGCGGGCGGCGGAGTTGGAAGTATATATATACATATATATATATTTATATTTCGGCCCCCGGGGGCCCGAATATGTCCATATCCACAATCCACCGCCTGCCGAGGCTTCGAAAACTGGCCCTCCAGGCGGTGGTCATGTATAGATTCCCGCCTCGGTTTTGTGGAGGGATCGACAGGCTGCGGCCGTGCATCCCAAGAGGACGGGCAGGCGTACCGTGAGATCCTGGCGTTGCAATTTTTTCACAACAGGCGTTTTCGCTCCATTTCGGGCACCGGGACCCTCACCGATCGATCCGGCTCGAAAAATGACGCACGGAGCTCCGGGCATATTTTTTGCGATGTTGCAATTTTTGGGCAACGTCAGATCTCAGGGCAAGAGCAAAACGCTCCGCGCGGCCATGCCTAGGCATATACCGAAGTTGCCCGCTGATGTTCAAGACGCCCCCGGCGCCTGCAGGGCAGCCCAGTTCTTGGGCGTGCCGTCGCGATTGCATATAATACGCTGCGCCTCATAAGTGGCCCGTCGGTCTCAAATGGGCTTGTAGAGGCTTCCCAAGTGGGGCCCGAATAGATGGTGTCGAAGGATCGCGCCGCATCGCCGTTGCATGGCCAATGCGTCGGCTACCAATCGGCGATGCATCGGTGACGCCGACGTGGAGAAAACTCGGGTTCCACGGCGACGCGGCGCGATCTCCCAGCCCCATCTACTCGGACCCCATGGGGGAGGCCTGGGACTTGGTGGGTCTCGAGCCCGTAGCGTCCATCAGTGCTGTTGAGGAAAGAGGCGAACCTGCCGATTTTTGCAGGTGCGGCCGCAAGAGGTAAGCTTTCATAGCTCTCTTAATTACCCCTCCTTCCTCGCCCGCCTCCCCGCTCTAATTCTTCCTTCTCCTTCCATCGTCGAGTTCCTCCTCGCTCCTCCGCCGAACTCATCCTCAGCATCAACTACCCCTCCGCATCTGCCTCCCCGTGCACACTCGCTTCGGTGTTGTGCTGCTGGGCGTGTCCCGGGCGCGTCGGGGTGCAGGGGTCCCCCGTCCCCCTCCCTTTGCGAAGTGCGGTATTGATCATGCATCGTGTTTGGGCGTCTCGATGCGTTTCTTTTCTAGGCTGACGATGAGCCTTCGATCCAGATCCACACCCAGATCCTTCCCCTCCTTTTTGACGCTGCGTGGAATCATGCTACAGCAAGTCGATCGCCGACTTAGCGGTGTGAAAAAACAGCTTTAACCTGGCTGGCGCAGCAGAGGAGGGCTTGCCAAAATAACAAGAAAAGAGAATGACCCCTAGGGCGTAGAGCACGCGCCAGCCATGCGGTCTGCGAGGACGGGGAAACGAACGAACGAAACCTTAGCAGCAACCAACAAATAGCCGATCGATAGAACAAAGGAGCGAACTACACGTGCAGCAGTAGCCAAGACTAGCACTGCCAGGCCTGGGGTAGTATCCGCATGTGTAGGCCTAGGCGAGAAGCGCAACAATGGAATAGGCGCAGTGAGCGGCGCCGTGACCAGATCGTGGACACTGTCGCTGGAATCTCCCCCCGTCCCTGATAGACCCCTTGCTAAGCCAGCTGCATGTCCCTTTATCAATCAAGATGCAGGCAAGGCGGCAAGACAAACATAAAACTCAGGCGACGTAAGGTTCGAATGCAAGCTGGGGAGATCGCAAGGTGGGCGCTCTGCTGTACGGCAAGCTCGCAGAGCGTCTTCCG